GCGTGGCTCTGCGCCGGCACCCACCTGCCTTGGTCCCTCGGCCGTGGGCAGAGAAGAGCTGGCAGCAAAACTTGAGCTGGAGCAAGTCTTCCTGGCATCAGCTCAACGATTTTGGCTCTTTTTTAAAGCAATTTATGTATGGTTTCAAAGCAACGTTCCTCTCCTCCGTCGGGATCTCTTGCCCTGCTCCTCCCCGATGTTTTTGAGAAGTCAGCTGGATGTTTTTGGACGTGGTGCTGAGGTCAGGGCCGCGGTCGGAGACACGGTCACCCCACGGGCTGGGTTTGGGGGACAGCAGCCTGGGGCTGTTCTCCCTCAGGCACTTGACTTCTGCAGAATTTTCTCACTCTAAACAAGCCAAAACCGTCTCAGCTTTGTGGTTAAAATGAAAAACCTCCTGGCCGTGGTCAAGGTCTAACCCAGTCTCGACTTCCTCAGCCTGCCTGCTGCCTGGAACGGCTGGGCCGTGGCCGCCAAGGGGCGATGCCGCTGGGATAAGGGTCCTGCACCTCCCGGCAGGACAGAGATGTGGTCTCAGGCTCCCCAAAACGGGTCGGTGGGGTGGAGAGGGCTCCCAGTCGCTGAGCTCCCCATCCCCGCAGGTGGAGTACCTGCTGAAGAAGATCTGCGCGGCCATGAACGTGGAGCTGAACTCCTGTGAGCGGGAGGACTACCTGTCCCAGGAGCCGCAGGGGCAGGGGGGGCTGACCGTCTGGCAGTTCCTGGACCTGGTGAACTCCGGACGGTTCCTGCGAGGCATCGAGCAGGAGGCGGTCAGCATGGCCGTGGAGGAGGTGTACCAGGAGGTCATCGAGGATGTGCTCAAACAGGCAAGGAGCCCCCACGTCCTGGGGCACAAGCCTTGTCCCGCCCCCAGCCTGGTTTTGATCCCCGTGTCTCTCGGGCACAGGGCTACCTCTGGAAGAAGGGCCAGCTGAGGAGGAACTGGTCGGAGCGGTGGTTCACGCTGAAGCCCAGCGTCCTGTCCTACTACATGAGCGAGGAACGGAAGGAGAAGAAGGGGAGCATCGCGCTGGACAAGCACTGCTGTGTGGAGGTACAGCCCGGGCCGTGCCCAGCTCCAGACCCAAGAGACCCCCTTCAGACCCTGGGAGGGGGGACCCAGGAATGCACAATTCCACATCCATGAGCATGGGAGAGCCAGTGCCATGGCCAAAGAAAGTGGGGGTACGGGGTG